ACGTGGTGCCGACGCTGCGCGCGTGGAAAGCTGCCGGCAAGACGTTGGCCATCTTCTCGTCTGGCAGCGTGCAGGCGCAGCTCCAATTCTTTTCTTACGTCAAAGAAGGTCCGAATACCACGATTGACATCAAGCCCCTATTCTCCGCCCACTACGACACCGTTAATGCGGGGCCCAAGACGCACGCGGCCTCGTACACCAAAATATGCGCTGAGCTTGGTCACAGTGTGCAAAAGGTCACTTTCCTGACTGATAATGTAAAAGGTACGTATTTTTGGTACGGGTGGAGCCGATGTACTGTGCTGGCCATTGTTCGCCCTGAAACAACATACCACTCGTCTCACTTGCTCGTCCTCACCGCCTCGCGCGACGACTCCACCACCCCTCCCCCACTCTTCCTTGAACCTATCACTACACCTGCACACCACCATGGCATGACTGCCCGTTTTTGCAACAACCCCATACCTTTCATCATGCCGCATGACGATGGGTCTCGGATGCACGAAGCATTCCGCCGCCTCGGTGGATGCCCTGCATGCATACATGTACCCTCTTTTTCTTTCGACCATCACGCGACCCCGCTCACTCTTCGGTCGTGTTGTTCGTGTCTCCCCTTGTTTCACGTTACGGCCCTCCTATCTTTTGCGTTGTCAGCGTGCAATGTGCATCGTACACATGTACAATAAACTAACGAGTGTACCCGTGTAGAGGCCGAAGCTGCCATGCAAGCAGGTGTCTACACTGTTGTCGTTGATCGCCCGGGTAATGCGCCGCTGGATGATGAAGCGAGGGGTAAATATCCCGTCATCGAGAAGTTGACTGATCTACCATGATGGCAATTGGTGCGTTAGTCACTCGTATCGGAATGATAGACAGTCAGATGACGAGGGTTTGGAGATTGTGAGGTTCGGATCGTCGATTGAGTATCATGGGAGATTTGGGGTAAAACAATATGATTTCCCCTCCCTTTCTCCATCTGCATCTATAGTACAAACTACGAGAACATGACTATGAGACCATCGTATGCGCAAGATAAACAATGACCTAGCACTTTTCCACGCGCTCATTACAAGCCCATTATGTCTTCCAGACTGCCGTTTTCGGATATTTGGAAAATATGATGTATCGGTAATGAGCTCGTCGATAGCGTTGAATCACCGTAATATGCTTGCGCATTCGTAGTACAATAATCCCATCAAACTCTCTTTTCCCCCTTCCTTTCAGAAATGTCTTGCCTCTACCGGTACTGCGAATCAGCAATACACGTAATCCCCCCTTTCTCAGCCAAGCCCAACCCAAGACCCAGCCCAACAAACCCGCAAACCCAATCCAATTCTAAGACAACCGTAGACGTTGCATAAACAAGCATGCAAATGCACGTTCATTCTGCCTGAGCTCGTATATTGTTGATGATGTGCTGTCGTACCCTCTTACTCATCAATCAATCAATCAATCAAACCCAAACACGCAGAAAGCTGTCATGCAGATCGGAGGAACCAACACTGTTGATACGGCTAAGGTATCGGAATCACCTTCGTTGCAACGAGTTGAAATGATTGTGATTGTTCTTGTTGTTCTATGGAGGTGGAGGGAGGTCGGCAGTAAGGCAGCAGCTAGAGCTCGGACCACACGGCTTAGTCAGCCGTGTAATCCAAGCTCGTGCATGCAGCAACCAGCTGCCTTATCTACCGCAGGTTCGATTCCCAACAAACACTCTAATAATACCGAGTGTAAAGTTTTGTTTCGGAACAAGTGGCTGTGAATTCCGCTTGGTATAATATGCGTCTTTGCGGGAGATTCCGTAGGGGATATATTGTAGGTGGGGTAAAATTAAGCTTCGGCGTATGGCGAATACGAGCTGACAATGTTGACTTCCATCGACGTTGAGGAGGCCGATCGAGGGAACGGAGAGAGGGAGGGTAAGTAAGTTTACGGCCAACATTTCTGTTTGTCTTGCATGCGCTTCATCGGGTTATTCAGTGGACTGGAGAACAGTTCCCTCTCTGTGCCCTTTCGTTTCAACCTTGACATGCGTCTTCTGACAATCTTGCTCATGTTGTCTTTTCCATGCATCGGAGGTCCTAGTACTCTTGCTCGGATTGGGATAGCTCGTTGTAGACGGTTTACGTGAACGCGGGTTGCTAAAAGGAATTTTAGGTGCATGTCTTCATGCTATGGTTCCAGTCAAGTTCCCCCTGTGGAACCACGTCGCGTGCGTCAGTAGGCGCATTTAAAACGTTTCTTTCTCCGAATAGTCTGCTGCGACTCTTTCTAGAGTAGCATCCCTAATTAATCCCATCCGGCCATCCCCGTATCGACAGATACTCTATTCGCACAACACATCCTCTTTCCCCATATGTTTCTCTTGCTTTCCTGCCTGGTCTGACCGATGCGTTGTCAACCCTGATCCCACAGGTAACAAAACAGGCGTAATGGCCACGACATCGTTGTCAGACCCGCTGGCCTTCTTCGACCTGCGAGTGCACGACGGCGATGTTGTCCGGTAGGATTTTAGGCGGGTCGGAATTGCCAAAGAGGGGAAGTGGACGCGAGTGGGTCGTGTAACCGAGGGGCTTGCAGCTTGAGCATCAAAGGAACGGAATAGGAAGGAGCGTAACCATGCGCTGTAGACTAAGACAATACGGGGATTAGGTATGCACAGGACGTTATTGTTGTTTGACCTGCTGGCGGGAAAGAGGGGCTAACGAGGATACGTGTACGTCTCCGGTATGACAGGCACGAACAGGCAAAGGTGTAAGGAGGGCCAAGAGGTAGTGCTATCAGGTACTTCGGGTAGTCGATCACTGGTGTGAATTATCGAATAGCCTGCAGCTGTCCTTGAAAGGTATAATTTTTTTCTCGAATGAGTTCTTCGAAGATAAGGATGAAGTATCCAGAATAAGATACGTCGTCGTCGTCATCGAAGAGCTCATCCAAAAAAAAAAATACACTTTCGAGGAAGTATCCGAATCTCCATTTCGCTCATGAAGAGTACCATCTGGACAGGTTGGATCTAGAGTGATCCGAGACGGACGTAACAGTCGAGTGGCCAAGACTTAACCACGTATCCCTTGAACATCCTCTATCACGACCAGACCAAGATACCAGAGCTCGCGGCTTTCGTCAACACAGCCACCAGAGTCGAAAAAGGATGAGGCGTTTACCGCTTACTAATGCGCTACATAAGCGGCAAGTGTTTCGTCTTTCGTTCGCCCCCGGAGTAGCTATTAATAGTGTTCCGACACGGCCCGAATCGGTCTCGACGGAAAATACACGTGTGGGGATATCCCTGGTGGACCAAACAAGATGCGCTATAAATGGTCAAACGCCTGTTTACGTATGCTATAGCAGCTAATCGCGTCGAAGAGGTTTCATGTCGACAATGTCATGCGTTGGAACATGAATCGGAATGTGGGGAGCCATTATTGGATGGTCGAATTCCTGGGGGCTGTTGTTCATATCTACCCCGCCCTTCACTTTCGTATCTGCATGTCCACCTCTTGCAATCCGTGTATGACTTGTCCCTAAGCATATGCCCAAGCATTCCGTCCTTCTTCCAGTAGGCCCTCAGCAGCTAGGACCAAAGGCAAGTTCCTTGTCTTACATCCTAGGTATAGAACCGTCCTTGTGCTCGATGCTCAGTGTATTTCATGCTTCCAGCGCCAAGGTTCCTTGCGACGGTAGGTGATGCATGCGAGGAAAGCTGTCGTCATGAGGTAGTCTCATTCAGGCACTGCTTATATAGTGGAAATACACCGCTGGGGGGTGGCCGTGAGCCCTACAGGTTAGCAACCATGCACGGCGGCATGCTATGATGTATAGCACACAGATAATTGCACGAGTAGTAGCCGGTGAATCTCCAATGCCTTGGCGGACATGTGTGTAGTTCCAGCTAGGAAAGTTCGAGCTCGTCCATGGTCAAGAAGTCGGTTCTATACTGTCCAGACGGACTACCATATGACGTGCCAGTCATATTGATGATAGTGAAAGTCAAGCCATGTTGGATTTGAGAATTCCACCGGGATACGGGCATAGTCCTGAGATAATGTCGTCTGTGTAGTCGATAATGCGAGGTGTTGCAGTGCAGAACTGCGAGATCGAAAATGATAAGTCTTGTGTGGAGTGGGGTAGGGCAGGCTCTGAAGCGTTAGCGAGATGGGTAGTCACGATGAAGCTGCAGCCAATCACGGTCCAGACGTATCCATCGTATTCGAGCCCAACTTTAGGTGTGTCAGTCACATGTGATTAAACATTGTCGCTCGATAAGTGTATACAAGAAGCTGAAGGTTGGGTATTTTTGCATGTCTGCTGCCGCGCAAGGTCGGCGCAGTATTACGCCCAACGCCAGTAGAACCCATGGTCGTCTGAATAGGCACGATTGATGACACGGGTTCGCTGCATATGGGCCTAGAAGAATCTCCACCAGATGAAGACGATGATGATGAAGGCCAGACCACCAATCGGACCGTACTGCGCGCCGTTAGTAAAGTGAAGTGTGCACGTTCCTACGGCATTCTCACCTGCTTCAGCAACAGCTCCCAGTTGATGCGCACAGCAGCCTTCTTGTACTTCCTGCTGTCTTCACGCAGCCGACTTGAGATATCTCCCATCCTCTCTAGACTATCGCCGCGGTATAGGAGATCCTCAATATTCTTGGTCATGACCTTTGTCACATCCTTCAGCTCGTCGTTCAGCTTGTCGAGGTTCTGCGTTGCTCTTGAGTCTTGGTATGTCTTCTTTGTGCGCTGGATGAAGGTGTCAAACTCGACAAAGGCATAGGGTCGGCATGTGGGCGAGAGGTACTGCTGCGGCTGATATGTGGTGGTGAATTCTCGGGCGAGGTCGGAGAGATATGTAAAGGCGAGTTTGCGGGGGTATGAGCGGTCGCATATGCAGAGGAAGCAGAGGTCGCCTTCGATTATGTAGCTGGCGTCTGTTTAGTATGCGTGAGGCATGAAGACATGGAATAGATATACTGGTATGTGTAGTTTCCGCTCTCTATGCTTGCTTGTTGCTCAGAGTTGCGGTTTAGGCGTCGCTGTACAAGCTTCACCTTGCCCTTGACTTCGTTGAACTCACGATCAGTCTGGAAATGGTGAGCCTTGCAATAGATGCGCAAACTTTGGGTGTCGTAGTACCTGCTCGTCATCGACCGAGGCTGTTAACAGCAGGCCTATATCTATGTTAGTATCTGCTAAACCTGCAACGACATTCGCGACTACTAACCATCGAGCCGCGATATCATCGTGTGCTTGATCATGATGGCGGTACGAGCGTGCGGACAGGGCTATCCAGTGTGCAGTATCGCGAATTGGAGTGTATATTATGTACAGAAACCTTATCTGGACGCGGACGACTGGGGTAGATTGAGGCTACGTGTCGGCGTGGATGCTGCCAGACGGCGCACGATGATGATACGGAAAGGTCGCGGAAGAGGCGCACGGACACGTCGACCACAAAGCGCGCCATTACTCTCCATGCCTCGATACATGCGTTTCAATTTGACTTGCAAAGACGGAAGATGATGGACTTGACATTCTCCAATACGCGCGTTCAACATGAAGAATGAACAAACCGCTGCTCTGTACCTTTTGTACGCGTCCCTGCCAGTCGCCGAGTAGCAGGCACGTGTGCAGCCCTACAGGACCCCCAAAATCTGTACTTGTCGTCACTTGCTTCAGAACCCTCCCCAGCGTTGTACAATCAAGCTTCGCGGCACTCGGTAACTGCTGCCTCGGAACCTCACCCCATCCTAGCTTTCCGCCAGGAGCCGTCTACAGTAGCTTAATCATCCAGTGCGACCTCTGCCAAATCTCTCCTGAACTCAATATTCAGAAATTTACTCTGTTCTGTATTGGCACCATGTCATTACCGGTGCGGTATGTTGCGGCCTCTCAACCTCGATTCAACCCTCTCTTTCACCCGTCAACGCCATCCTTGCTCAGAAATATATTTAGTCCGTGCTCCATGCCCAACTTCTATTGTAGCTATTGTCTGAGCGCTAGACAGCCGCTTTCACTTTGCGCCCCATAGTTCGTGCTGGCGACGTCCTACCATTTTTCTTCTATCGTATTGTCTGAACGTCAGACAGCCGCTTTCACTTTGCGTCCCTCGTACTGGCGACACCCTGCCATTTCTCTTCTATTGTATTGTCCACTTTGTTACAATCACAATACGAACTGCTGCCCACGCATCGTCACTTCCATATCTAATATATAAACAGACCCTCCCCTGGTGCCCAGCTCTCTTCTCCAAAGCAAAATCTGTCCACGAGATCTAAATTGCCGCGAGAGCGAACCACCAAATCTTCCTCCACAAAAACGCCAAAGAAGAACCAGATGTCGCAATCCGCAGAAAGCTCGTCGCCGCTATTTACACCGCCTTCATCCTTTCTTGAGCAGGCCTCAAAGTCCTCTGTTGCTGCGAGTACCGCTCAGCCAGAGTTTGAATCGCCCGCCGAACCAACTCATGCGTCATCTGTTGAGACACTGCAAGCGCTGGCGCCTGACTCCGTCTCAACGGCTGCTCCAAAGTCGAATGTGGATGCCAAACGTGGACAGAACGCATGCAACAAGCGGCTCCGCGACGATGATTCCGACTCTGAGGATGCATTCGGAACACCACCCCCTAAGCGTCCTAGCAAAGAAGCAACCGCAGCAGCAAACGGTAAAAGGGCTATAAAGAAAGCTTCTCCTTCTCAAACGCCTGCTCCCAAGAAGCCCATGGCAAAGAAGACTGCAACAAAAAAGGCTATCTCTGCTCCACCCGCCCCCAGTTCGCGTCCTTCGCGCACTCGCAAGGCGCCCGAACGACTAGAGGATGTCCAAGAGAAAGCCAAGCTCAAGTCTCTTCCAAACAAAAAGGGTCTTAGCAAGGTCTTTGATCCTGTTTATGTCACCACAAACTCCGCGAGCCGCTTGGTCAAAGCTGACGTCTACGTAAGTTGACCACCCTAACTCAAATCATGTTCAAAGCTAACTCCTCCTAGCACATGCTCCTCGAAGGCTCAGCATGGACCAGTCTCAGCGCTGAGCAACAGAGCACTCTCATCTCAATGCTTCCTCAGGACTGTGCGAACCGAGCCCTGCTTGTCAAGATCAAGGCGGGCGAAACCGAGGGCACTCGTCCAGCAGCGTTCACACTGGCAAACAACTGCTTCCGCACCGATGTCGCAAAGTTCAGAGAAGACTTGAAGAATGGCCACTTGGCGAAGACGTGGCAGGCCGCGGCTGAGCAAGCAGTCATTGAGCGCGCTGCGGGCGAATACGATGCGTGGAAGGCCGAAGAGGCGGAGACTTGGTGGGGTCAAAAGAGCCAGTGAGGTGTTGGATGTGACTGAAGGACATCGAGGCGAATTGATATGTGTGGTGATCTTGAATCTGAGACCATAACACGCGATGCTGCGGATCGCGCAGTACGTATCTCCTGGGTGTACATCATTTCTACAATGAATATATCGAAACTTCCATGTCCATTGCGCGCGCACTTTTCTTTGCGCCTTTCTTGGAAACACCCTTCTTCTCCAATGTGTATACATCGCACTCATTCTAGCCTCTTTGCCTGATGAGCGTGGTCACGTCCTGAGTCGTCCGAATCGGGTTGTCTTTCACTCTGCGCGGTTTTTTCCACACGTCATAGGTCCCTTTTCCCCATAGTCCCGCGACTGACCTCCCAGATCTCCACCAAAGTGACCACACAGATACGTCAGTGCACACTAGCGCAAGCCTTGGAATACATCCGTCAACTGACCTGCAACACTTCTTCTCTCCATCTCTGCTCCTCTCCACCTCTTGATCCACAGCTTTCCGACACCCAAGCGCGATCATCACGACAAATATCACAGCATAGAGATAATCACTACGGAAGAACAATTCTAGGTCGTCTAAAAGGTTCACAGTACTCTGCCGCAAGTAGATAACCGCATATTCACCGCAGATAAATAACCCCATATTCGCGCGATCAATCGCCACCACTACCGAGTCATCCATACGACACACGAACAGGTATGCGCTGCGATACGTCTTAAATATAGCCATTGCTCACATCTCAAGTCTGCAACCTCTGGCAACTATGATGCCCAACAACCAGTTTCTTGTCCCAAAAACGATGAGCATCCCCTACGACATCAGCAGCACCATCATGACCGCTGTTATAAACCCTAAAGATATGGGTACCATTACCAGAGCCACCCACAATACCTTGTATGCGATGCCAACCACCGCAATCTCCGCAGTCTCTGCTGGTAGGTTTGCGACTCCATCACTTCGCTCCATTGTCCCACCGACGTTGCTCAAGAACGCGACTGCCGCCTACACTGCAGTACACAAATCCAATATTGCCGTCGATCTCTCCGCCATTAACTGGGCCTTGGGTATGACCATTACCGCCAGTATAGGCGCGGCTGTAGTTGCCCATGCTCGTAGGACTCCGTCAGTACCTCTTGGTATGGACGCAATGAGATGGCGAAAGCTGTTACACAACATTCACTCCTGGCTGCATCAGAAGCTCAAGTCAAACGCGAGTCTTCGCCGAGAGCTCGAGGATGCAAGGCGGGCTGTGTTGGAGAGGGAGTAATAGCAAGAGCTCGTTGTATTGTAGCCCACTATGATAGAAGACTAGGCCAACGACTTGATAGACGCGCAAGTCAATGCGATACACCTGAATGAGCAGTTGTACCAGGCGCAAGTGGAAGCCACCACACTGTAGCAACAGCTTGAGGCAAGTGCTAGTAGTCAGGATGAACTGCTAAAAGCACAAGCTGAGCTTGCCGCGCTTCGACAAGTGCTTGAGACGGACGACAAGGACGATGCTGAACTCGAGTTGAACCGTTTCCGTGACGAAATCGCACAAACGAAAACAACAGCCTCCGTTGATAAAGCCCAACTCAAGCAAGCTCGTGAATAGATAGCTATTTTACGCGATGAAGTCAACCAACACGAGGAACTCGAACAAATACAAGACGAAGAGCTCAAAGATTCTAAAAAAGCATTTGATGATCTTCATGCGATGCTTGACTTGAAACTCAGGGACCGAAAGGCGGTTGAAGACAAGCTGGCCCGCGACAAAACTCCAATGCGGAGCAAGCTTTTTGGAATGTTCACGTCGATGTCGGCTTCTCGAAAAGACCCTGGTATCATGGCTAGTCCGCCTCCAGTGCCATCATCATCACCACTCCCCTCAATGTCCGTTTCTGAAAACGGGCAATCTCAAACTCGCTTCTCCTCAGGATCGGAAGAGCCTTTTCCTTCTTCTCCTGCAGCTGAGTCGAGCCAGCCTACCGCGAAATCCTCCAAAGCCGCAGCAAAGATCGGCTTTCACAGTCACCCCGTCTCCACACCAACCCAACCCACACCAGCCATCTACACTACAACGACTAAACCAACTCCTCTCTCGAACAAGGCGGAAGCGAAGATTCCAGAATGCACGAAGTCCATTCACAGGAAACTTGGCGAATTGATGGAACGCTTGACCTCAAGTGCAAGCTCGAACGCAAGCTCCAAACGGCTCAGGGACATTGAAGATGTTGAAGCGACACCGATCCAATATAAGAAGCCACGACTAGCTCGCCAGGGAAGCGTATTTACCCCAGGTGGTAGGCCCTCCGTCAGGCTGGCGATACCTGAACTGAGGCCAGCTGAAGCCGGATTGAAGTGCGTACCATCACAAGATAGTACGAAAATCTGCAGCAGCAAGGAAGATAAGGTTATTGAATCTGTCAAGGTCAAGACGCCTGTTGTAGCTGCGAAATCACTGTCCGAACACTCGGCGCTAGTCCCCGTGGAGCTACAGCAAGACCCTGTCGGCGATGTTGTTATGGGCGGTAGTGACGACGAGGCAGAGGTGCTTTCCTCCTTTGCTCTTGCTGGCGGTGAGTAATCCAACGAGCCCCAGCAGGCGTCGGTTACGATGAACGAGCCGGCCGTGGGCGACGTTACTGTGGCCAACAGCACCCAGCGGGAAGAGCTCATCATCAAAACTGAACCCGAAGGCTCAACCCTTGGTCTCTAAGAGGTACCAGTAAAGTCTGAGGCCTCTTCCAGGAACAGCACCAGCGACATCGACATGGCGGATAGCGTCCAAGACGTTTCCATCCAGCCCAATGTTGAGACTACCGTCGCTCCTACCCCATCTGCACCCGGCACCCTTCGTCGACGGTCAAAACTCCCCGTCCCCACAAACTCACCTGTGCGTAAAAGTACTCGGCTCGCTGGTATGACTCAGGACCTCAGCGAAAAGTCCCTTCGCGAACGCTCCACCTCTCCCCTGAAGACCGCTACTACTCTCAGCGGTAAAGCAGGCTCTCAACCCCCGCCATCCTCCAAACCCGCTGGTGTCACCAAGACGTCTGCGCGACAGACACGCTTTGTATCGCCCAAGAAAATGGATGCGGTCAAGTCCGCTGCTGCTTCTCCGAGGAAGCGCAAATAGGCGCGGCGCATCCTGCACACCCATCGCCCGCGGTTCATCCACAAGAATCGTGACTCGTAGACGAGAATATTCCAGAGAGGTGGAAGATGCCACACGGCAATATACCTTATGTTGGCACATACGATGGAATATACATGGATCTTGCAGGAAGTTATATAGAAATGAAGGTGTTTTTAAGCGTGAGTTTTGGTTATTTTGCATTATATCATCCGAGAGCCTGCGTCTGCGTTTGTCATTTAATGTTTTTCTATATTGTTTTGCCGTTTTACAGTGTTGAGTCATGAGCGTTTGACGCTTGTTGTTTGGTGTTTGTTCTTGGTAGAACGATAAAGACGTTATTTGCATAGGGTTGCATACAACCTAGCCTTTATAGAAGAAAAGGCTACGTTTACTAGTAGATTCGAATTGTATATTTCGAAAAAGCCCCTGGTTGATGCCCTGGTGTATTCCATCGTATGTGCCGAAATGCAGTAAGCTCCGACATCTACAGAGAACGGCTGTGTTAGCAACATGAAACTGTGTCGTAATACTGCAGATGATCACACGGAGATCGACAGGGCCTGCGTATACTGCATGGGGGCCAATCTCAACAGCAAATCATCTCGTACCCCACACCAGGCAGTGCAATCTTGGATAAGACGTCGCTCACAAGAAAGGCTGAAAAGATCTCTCGATGCAACAAATTCGCGGTCGAACCGCTACCCAGCCTGGGTACCAAGCTGGAGAACCATCCAGTACATTATTTTGACGAGAGCTCTACCGAGCCTCATCACTCTTACCTTACCTACCCTGAAAAGAATTGTCCGACAAATCAGAAAGACTCGCATATTCTTCCGAACCCGCTCCAACACAACCACAACAAAAACTTCCCATTAACCAACGGATATGCTAGCTATGGCAGGTTTCAGAGAGGTAGCGAGTTTTATTGACGTACTTCAACTATTGGGAAAGATCATTGAATACATTGGAAAGGTCAAAGGCGCATCAAGTGATCGTATGCGGCTTCGTGACGAGATCAAAGGATGCAAACGTATCTTAGAGGACCTCAGAGACGAGCTTATGACTTAGAAAATGAAGGGATTTGGAGTGATACGATCAGTGTACTCGAGCGCCCCGATGGCCCTCTACGCCGCCTCCAGGTTGCGCTTACGCAAGTGGGGATGAGGCTACAAAATGGAGGCACCATCAAAAGTTCTTTATCATGGCCTTTTCAAGCGAAGGAAATCTAACAGTTGATCGAAATGATCGAGCGGTAAAAAGGTCTGTTGATATTGGCACTTACTAACGAGTCTCGCAAGCTTCTTCAGGAAGTGAGAGCTCGTTGCGAGGCGAGTGGAGAGCATCTTTACAGACTGATGCGCCTTCTGGATATCAACACCGGAATTACCAAGAACGGGTTCAAGACGATTAGTCAAGAATTAACGGCCGTCAAAGAAAGTCAAAGGGACCTCCAAGACGGTATAGATCGGCTACAAGATTCCCATCATGTTCAAGAAGAACCAAAACTTAGAGAAAACATTCTCAATTGGATCACGCGCCACAGTCACGCTTCCCAACAACATGAAGTTCTTAGCACGCGACAGGACGGTATCGGAGACTGGCTTCTGGAATCTGATACATACATCACCTGGCTAGGTGACGGCTCGCAAAAGCTGCTTTGTACAGGCCTTCCATGGGCGGGAAAACCGTACTTGCATCTATCGTCATCGATGATCTCCAAAAGCGGTGCCACAAAGACGTTAGCACTGTAATGGCCTTCTTGTACTGCGACTACAAGATACGAGACAAGCAAAACATCTATTACATGTTATCGAGCATTCCGAGACAGCTGGTAGAGGCCCAGCGCCCCCTCTCCACATCCATCAAAGGCTTTTACGATAGTCATGGCTTATGACAAAGATGTCCCATGCTCAAAGTCTTGCTCGAGATTTTCCACTTTACGGCCGCCTCTTTCTCCCGTGTTTTCATCGTGGATGCGCTTGACCAATGTCATGGAATTGATGGTCGCCGCGAAAGATTTCTGACTGAAATATTCAGCATACAGAACTCATGCAACGCGAGCGTTTTAGCGAAGACAAGACATTTACCTGAAATTACCGAGAGATTTACAGGAGTGCCACGAGTGGAGATTCGTGCAAGTGATTCAGATGTTCGAACGTATGTGAAAGGCAACATGTACGGGCTACCGAACTGTGTTATGCGCAGTGCTGAACTGCAGCAAGAAACCACAGAAACCATAGCTGGAGCAACCGGTGGAATGTAAGATTTCAGTCTCAATATCTGGAAATTTATGCTAAGACGCCGCTAGGTTCCTACTAGCCAAGCTCTATCTTACTTCGCTCAAGAGGAAGCGATCATCAAACGCGGTTCGAGGAACCCTCAGAAAGATATCTCAACGATACTCGCTATCGGATAACTCTTCTGGACAGTCAGAGGTCTACGATAGCGCTTACCAAATCACGATGGAACGCATCGAGCAACAGGGTGACGAGCAAGCGCAACTAGCCAAGGAGGTCATAGCCTGGGTTACCTTTGTGAAAAATACAATCAGAGCCTCGGGACTTCGTGGAACTCTAGGAATCCTGGTAGGAGATACTGTCTTTGACGAAGGAAATTGTCCAGATATCGAAGACATGATCTCGGCTTGCGCTGGGCTGGTCACGGTCGACCCTGAAACGAACCTGGTTCGGCTTGCTCATTACACAACATATGAGTATTTTGTCAGAAGTCAGCATCACTGGTTCCCAGATCCACATGGCATGATACTAGACGCTTGCCTCACCATACTATCGCTAGAAGTGTTCGCTAAAGAGATGAACAAAGAGGAAAGAGATTCCATCGTCTTGGAGCTTCCGCTACATAGCTACGCTGCTCATAATTGGGGGGTACCATGCTCACCAGGGGACCGATACAGTGTTACGAAGTATGTAATTCCTACATCAACCAAGGAAAGTCGATACGGCTGGCAGAGAGATATACAAAGAGATGTTTCAGGACTCGCGACCTGTCGGGTTTGCACTGAAATTTTGAAGATATGGTCCGATGGGACACTTCGCCAACAATGCTGTTACCCCTCTCCATTTGGCCGCATACCTTGGACTCGAGGATGCAATAGAGGTTCTGAGTCAAGAAAAAGATGTTATTATGAACGTGAGAGATTACCTCGGAAGAACCCCTCTCATGATCGCTGTGCAGAACAGTCATGACCACGTCGTCGAGCAACTGATTGGATATGGCGCATGTATTCAGGTTCATTGCGGACTCATTTATGGGCACAAGAAAGACTGCGATGATTCTGTTATCGAGCTAGAGAGTCGTGGTAGGCATTGGAGCGACTCCAGGCATACTGTGGACGTAAAGCCATTGTCGAGAGATTGCTCGAAAAAGACATTTCAGTTGACGCGAATGACCACAGACACGGCACTCCATTGTACGCTGCAGTAAAGTAAGGGCATGTGCACATAGTCACTCTTCTTCTCGAGTGGAATGCGGATGTTAAGTTGGAATCAGCTTATCGTATGACTCATAGATTACCCGATAAACCGAGGCGCAGATCCAGATATTGAAGATGTTGATGGCAATATACCCTGGTCGGTAGCTGTCGAAAAAGACTACACAGAGGGCATTGAACTACTCAAGCGACAAGAGGAGCACCCCAAAGCAGATGAACCAGGGTGAACGAAACAGCTTTTGTCCCCTTTGTCTGTCGTACAACAGGTATGTGGCAAAACAAGACAGTCAACGCAATCCGAACTAAGCTTACAGCACTGGTAGAATCTTGTTGCTATTTAGGTACCGCTAGTATACAGGGCAAAAATGTCATGATCGAAGAATGAAATGATATCGTAAAACGTCGCGATTTTAGGGAGAAACTCATATCTGAGAAAACCAATGCTTCCTATTTATCCCCCGGGTAACGACATGCAGTGACGTCGGATTGCTTAGTAGCTTGGAGAAGCTGGTCTCACTGGCATGTGTGGAGTGTTTACGAGGCGAGTATTTATGATTTGAGTTGCGGGATACCTCTATTCTGATATAGAGGTAAGTATGACTTGAGAAGTGAAGCAAAAGGCCAAGCCTGAGATGCACATTGTACTTAGAGCAGGAGTATTTCCTGTTATTTCCACCACTCGCAATTTATGGGTGCTACCAAGTTCCTGTAAATGAGACGGCACACGAGAGGAATGGTGTTTTTGCACGAACATGCAAGGGTGGCATCTTGTTGTATGCATATGATTTCGTAACTATGGAGCATAATCACTGCAAAAGACTATGTAGTGATGTCGGGACTGATAGGCATCGATGACTGTTCCAGTTCTCAAAAAACAAGTGAAACATACTAAGTAGCACTGACGATGAGCATACATGCAGCATGTGTAGTTAGAGAGTCAAGCACTAGTTCACGTGCAACGATGACATCATCGCCCAAAGCAGCAACCACCTCCAGCTGCTCACAAAGAACGCGCGTAGGCGCCAATGAAGCCAGCGAGACAATTTTCACAAGGCAGCAACACCAGCCAAACAATAAACGTGTCCTATACTCCCAATCCCATGAAGAGACAGTCCCTTCTCTCGATTAACTCTTTACACAATACAAACATTGGCTCTGTACTCTAACCAACTGCGCCTGACTCACCCACACACTACCCTAAAGCCAAACACTCCAGATACTCCCCTCTAGCAGTATACCACGATGCCGCCAATCCCCATTCACAAAAACGCGCCGATAGCACCCACAACGGCTGCCAAAGCAGACGGCGTCACACCCTCAACCGCCTCGTCAAACGACAACGGCACCTCAGACCCACCCCCAACTCCCACGTCATCCGCCTACGTTCCAGCTACAACGACGCAATCCTCTTCATCTTCACCTCCCGCACCCCAACCCGGCGCACGCCCTATAGCCCCCACCCAGGCAGCAGGTGCAGGATACGGAGGAGGAGGCTATGATGGCACACCCGCAGCACCACAACCAGGTCCCACAGCGACGGTGATAACGACAGAGACACGGCAAGTAGTTCCACCACCACCTCAGTTTAGTCACCCGCCTCCAAGCGACTCTATGCTTGCAGGTCGCTCAACTACAACGGCTACTGCGCCTTCTAAACCGGGTCCTACGACGCTCAACTATGGGCCTGTGGCTTCTCCTTTTCAGTCGGCCGACTCGGGAAATGCAGTGGCGCAGCCTACAGGAACCAGTTTGGAACATCCACCGGGTTACGTTCAAGCACCGGATAATGCACCATATACTGCTGGGGGAGGGCTTGATCGACCGAGTGGTGCGGGTGAGGGTGCTGAAGGCGAAGGTGTAGGAGCACAGGCATGGCAGATGTTGAGCAAGGCTGGCGAGGCGCTGAAGAAGGGCGAGGAGAGCGTATGGAGGGCAGTCAAGAACAAAAATGGTGGTGGCTTCTAAGTAACGGCTTAGCTCCGGGGGTGGCGGGATGAGGACATTATGAGATCAACGTCAACCTACATACACAAGCATGATGCCTCTTAGTGGTCACATCACTCACAAATTAATCATCACATGAAAGACAATGTGTTGTGCAAAGAAACCCGTAACTTTCTATAGACCACCATTTTCCCCAGTGCACCAAGCGATGAAAAGAGGAAGTACAGCCAAGAAGGACAAAGCAATGCAAGCCGGATATGACGTGTGAATGTTGTAAAGTACAAGAGTGTATTACCACCCCGGGGTCGTGCTTTTCGTTACCAGGAGCAGCCTTCAGCCCGCTGGGCCTGTTACTACTCCAACACGTACACCTCATCCCCATCTCTCACGTCGCGATTAGCTGCTTCCACCACATAAACGCAGGTTGGGGTATCGATGAGGGAAGGAAGGCGCTTAACCGGATCCACCCTTGTACTTCTTGCCGAAGAGGATGAGCTGGGCCTGGTCGTAGATGGACAAGACACCGGCACCGGCAACACCACGGAGAATGTTGGCACCAGCACCCTTGAAGAGAGACTTGATACCCTCGGCGGCGACAATCTGGCGGGCAGCATCCATGGTACCCTTGTACTTGACGGCCTCACCGGAGGTCATCATCATACGACGACGGATAGTGTCGAGAGGGTAAGAGGCGATACCGGCACCGGTGGTGACGGCCCAACCAAGAGCGAAAGAGGCCAAGAAGTTACCCTCGAGGGTACCGGTGAGGAGGACGGGCTTGATCGAGTCGTACATACCGAAGTACAGACCACGGTAGACGACGATACCAGCAACGGAGGGCATGAAACCACGGTAGAGACCACCGATACCGTCGGTGGCGAGGGTCTTCTTGTAAACGTCTACAAGACCGTTGAACTGGCGCTCACCACCCTTCTTGGCCGACTTGGCGTCGTTGGCGAGACGGGTACGGGCGTAGTCAAGGGAGTAGACGAAGAGGAGCGAAGTGGCACCGGCGGCCTGATACTGTCAGTTTGTGATGGCATGGACATTCGACGCGAGTACTTACACCACCGGAGGCAAGGTTACCCGCCATCCACTTGGCATAACCATCACGCTCCTTCTTGTAGGCGAACATGGACTTGTAGGTGTCGCGGAAAGCGAAGTTGAGCGCCTGGGTAGGGAAGTAACGGATGACGTTGGCAGTGTTACCACGCCAGAGGGAGAGGACACCCTCGTTCTTTGCGGTACGGCTGAAGCACTCAACGATACCGTCGTACTTCCTGTCGAGACGGCCGGACTTGAGCATCTCATCCTGCAGATGTTGTTAGCCATTGTGTTGTCAGGCTTGGTCAGGACAAAGCGTACCTGGTTCTGGATGAGGAGCTTGACACGCTCGATAGGGGCAGCAGCGGTCTTCGAGACGGCGGCGGAAACACCACCCACTGATAAGCCGTTAGTAGCTGTCACATGTGCAGAATTCTGCTGATAGTGCTGGTATCATCTAGGGGCCTCAATGGCTCTCCCATTGATGAAGTTGTCGACGGAGATGCAACGTACTCAAGAAGTCCACCACGAAGCCCTGATTGTCTTGTTAGCATGTCTTATGGTTGTTTAGATAGGAAATACCGGCAACACAGCCAGCCAACGCGCGCATCCCCGGGAAAGGGCAGGCTCATCTCAATGCATCCTCTACCCATTGGCATAGTATCCATTGATGCAATTGAGACAAGTCCACACCCATTGCTAGATTTACGGTTGTTCAAGCTGGCCAGCTGGCGGCACTGGAAAGGACTGTACGTACGGGCATTCCGAAGGCCGATTTGTCTTGCGACATGATGACGGCGATGTGCAGAGGGGAGATTTGATTGAAAAAGGGTTGCAGATGCTGGGGCTGCGTTGAGGGGAGGAAAGGTGTATTTGTATCGGAAGCTGAGCGACAAATTCTGCCAACTGCGCTAAGCCGCACTAGGCCTATCACGTGCTAGTGCAGTTCCGGGCCCTCCCTCTTCAACACCTCGGAGACGCGGATTTTGGGAGCAAGTACTCGTGATACGATGATGGTTTTGTTTTTCTGCAATTTTTGACGCGTCTACGTGTTTCTTTCTCTAGGCACCTATTGTGCATCACAGCATCGTCACTGTAAAAGGCTTCTCATTTGCCGAATCTCAGGCTTGCCGCAACACCACACCAGATGGATTTTCTAATACTTGCTCCAACACCAGGCCGCATCCGTCGATTCAACATCCGAAACCCGTTGTGGGGGTGCACAGGTGTCCAGATGCCTTTTCCGCTCAAGTTTCAAATGCTCTCCTATCCGCAACCCGCCAGTGTCAGGGTCCGCCATTTTTAGGTCGGGTAATCTCGGGGCGTGAACCCTGCTCGAGCCAACAATCTAGCGGTAAAAGCCTGTGCGTCAGGGCCCGCAACTCTAGAGAGGCGAATTTTCCATCGCCTTGCCCGTTATTGGAGGAATACGATGCTTCGCGAAGTCTTCTACACCTTTCGGATTGCCGTTGTATACATGGGTGACGTCAGTGCGGAGTCCCAACTTTGAATTCGACTGACGATCAACTTCTTACACTGTATGTCTGGACTGCCAGAAATTTCCAAATGACTGTTTCCCCTCAACGCAGCCCTAGCATCTGCAACCCTTTTTCAATCAAATCTCCCCTCTGCACATAGCTCAACCACCCACTTAACGTGTTGTAGTGATGGTTGGCAGTGGTTGGTCTTGTATTGCCCCTGCCACGGAAGTCCAATCATCAACACGATGTCTCATGGAGAACATGTATCAAACGATACCCTGGAAGTATTCACACAAGTGTTGAATTGCTACTGCTGACTAGTTAGATATGCGAATATCTCCACGCTCTGGATTCTTGAGCAGGATTCTTGAAGATGCTGGCACTGTCGCACATCCGGCTTCTATGCACCATATATCACCCAGAACCGCTTATGTCGTATATCAACTTCGACGTCTTCACTTCGCCTCTCCTATACCCCCAGACTACGCATGTTCACTTTCACTTGATCACATGAACATGAGCCATGTCGGACACCTCCTTAGCTTGCCCTACCGGGTATGATACCTCGTTAAACTTCCTTACATAGACTATATACATTGGATCCATATATCTCATCTTTACGGAGACCTCACTTCAGTCCTATCATCACCATGTGTTCTGTCACAGTGTTCTTATTACATAAACTCTCTTATCGTGTGGTTGCAAAAGGGTTAGTCGGTCGTTGGAAGGACAAGTCGATCAGGAACACAAACAAGGGAAGGTGGGTGGGTTCAAGGCACATGATCATGAAGACAATAGTCAAACGCATCATCATCGACGTGATAGTTCAAATTTATCCAACCAAATACTTAATTATCTGCAAAAAAACTCCATGTGCCAAACTTTTAGAGTGAAGATTCGCCCCAGTTGATCAAAGATGGGATCATTCGCAAGCAGACTCCAGATGCCATCGTCAAGATGATTACAATAAATCAGAAAATCAAATACCCAGTAAACTCCTCATTGAGTCCCTAATAAATCGGATGATGTGAACGTCCGCAAACAAACTCTTGATACCATCGTGAAGATCACCGCAATAACCAGAAAAACAAATGCCCAGTAGAGTTCTCATTGAACTCAGTGCAAGTTATGCTTGGCCAAAGCAAAAACTTTTTCTCTTCGCCCGAAAGCTCCATACGACTGAACCAATCAACCACGCTTCTTATTCCGCAACCGACTCGTCATTTGCAATAAGCTGCGACAGCTCTTCTCGGAGTCGTCTGGCATGGTTGCGTCGTTCATCAATACTCAGGTTCCGCAGGGAAGGGAACACATCGTACGTTATTGGCTTTGCTGTGGTGGAAGTTTTCTGGGCATCGTCTTTCGACCCATGCTCATCAACCCACTTACGCCATGATTTATCGGCGTAGACTGTGTTGAAATTCGTGGCCATACCTCTATCCAAGAGATATTTCACAGATATACGTACCTCTTGGAGGAGGCGTAGTGGTGGAGGCTGGCGTGCTCTGACTCTGTGCTGAAGTAGTGACCTCACTCGCTCGAGCTGTTCATCATCCATCTCTTGACGTGGATCATGCCACATCTTAAGGCACTCTTTGTCTTTCAGGGGGTCATCCAATAGGTTTCTTTCGATGGGTAAGGCCTGGTCTTTTGATGGTTCTGAGTCATGAGGAGGGTTGGTCTTGGCTCGCTTCGCCATCGGCTCTGCTGATGGTCCAGTTGAACGACTCATCTCTTCAGCTGGTCGTCCTGTAGAGCTCTTTCCCCTGTTCTTAGCTTTTGTGACTGGCTTTCCGAACTTTGCGACCCAAAGCTCCTCTGCTCTATCCTTCCAGTGCTTAGCACCTCTTAGCTCGTCGACCAACGTTGTTGCGTCAACATCGCCTTGATTGTCGGCAAGTTGGTATTGGCGACCTTCGTGCTCGGAATGTGAACAAAGGTGACAGCGAGACTTGTAGCCACCAGCTCCATCTCCGACTAGGCCCCAACATGCCCAGACGTCCGATGGTGGTCGTCCGGCTTTTGGCATAGAAGAGGCAACACGAATCCTTGGAGATGAGTAGGCAAGCTTGGCGCGAAGCCGCTGTTCAGTGTTGCAATCCATGGTCCGGTTCGTGGATACCTGGCTCGTTGGTTCAGGGGGAGTTGTGTGTGCGGTTTAGTTATGTAAAGAAAGCTGGCAGAAAAATTGTAGAGAGGATATGAGGAATAGGGGAGGGAAATGTAGAGAGAAGATTACATAGTATAGTTTAGAGGACTGATAGCGCTAGGCGAGCTCTCCCAGAGGGCACACAGTGCCTGCAGATTTTCTTATAATTCGATATCAATACCCCATTTTCCCTGGGAGAGAAGGAGTATTTTGTAGGTTCAGCGGTGTTGCAGTGCAGACTAAGTACGGTGCACGATCTAAGTCTTTGATACAAAACTCTCTAATTTTTCCAAGGCCACACACTGCTCTTTTACACATGTGTTCATGATTCGTTGACAGGAACTGTAAATAGTTTCTTTTCAAATCGAGTACTCTTGTCCAAATATGGCTCGACCTAGTTACTGCGTATGTAATAAGCGGCCGTGGAGTTAGCAGAAGTGTATCCAGTACGATCAGTTCGACATCGGCGGAGTTGAGCTGAAGCGGCGGGAGTCTCAAATTCTTTTGCTAGGCCTTGGATCTCAGTGGTGATTCCTTTTGTTCATGAATCCAATCTTCAAGTGGTGCCTCGTTTGCACTGCTGTGACCACCAATATGTTTCCCGGCTTTAGCAACTTCTCGTTGGTAGAACTCAGCGAATGTGAGCATATCGTCCGGGTCTAGTTTTGTTTTGGCGTCGGTAATGTACTTCTTGATCTCCACGTTACCCCCGGAATACTCAAGTTAGGTATTATTGCGTGCCGTCCCAATATACAGATCGAGAGTGCAGAGTGCTTTGGTGGTGGAACGCGACAATGGAAGAGATCAGACCAGGTGAGAGAGGAAGCAGAGCAGCAGCTCCAAAATACTTGCACGCCGATATAATTGTGGCGCGACCTCGGTGATAAGACGAACCACTGTCTAGACGTGTGATGCTCGAGCTGCACTTGAGTCAGCGTGTATTGAAGATGAAAGATGCGTTCGAAATCAGAGGATGGCAGAAGTTCCAGAGCATAAAGTTGTGCATTCAAGACACATAGGCCGCTTGCTGGATTATGCCACACTAAGTCTCTTGATATCCCTCTCTCACTTATTTCTCTCTCACCTTGGATACCATATTTGTCGCTAACCGCAATGGGTGGAGTACGCAGACGGCGGGACAGATAAAGATCCTTGGGTAAACTTCGAATCCAACCCCAACACCTCCGACCGGAGCTTGACCACGACAGGATAGAGCTATTATTTAGGCTACACATTCCCTACTAGGGTTAGACCAAGTCGCCGCAAAGATTAACAGCGATTAATAGCGTGCTTCCGCCCAGAACACGATTTTGAAGCTTCTTGCGGGCAACAAAGCCATCGTGGCCACAGCGTTTGTAAGTATATATTCTCGCTTCACTCACCTCTGTTTCACTTTGGAACTACTTGTGACTACATTCAGTTACAAGCTTGACGAGTTCATGAAATTTTACTTCGGTCCAATCTGGGTTCTTCCCGATTGACTCTTCCCTACACCTAGTACCCACCTTTTAGTAACTCTATTGCGTCTATCTGGCGCCACATTGACCCGGAATGTACGAATTATGTCTACTTCTCAATTTGCCATGAAATTGCACCTTTACCGAAATATTTGCTAGCAAAGGATGCAGATACATCATCGGACTGCTAGATAAAGCAATGGAATGCAGCGCGCTCTGAGCCTACTGACGGGAAACACTTACAGAGATTCAAGAATGCGCTTGCATTAGTGGAACTCATTTGCCTCGATAAATTAGTCCTATCTATTGGCGGTTTCGATCAGTCACATGTGGCTATCGCAGCGAACAGTCACACTGTCTAACCGACGTTTACTCTCAAATTTAAGCCATCTTACTCTACGCTAGGGCAGTGGCCTGTCTCGATCGATTTCGATTTCGAATATATGAAAGAAGCAAAAGTTCGCTTTGCAACCTCGAAAGACACAGGGACGGATAATCATGCTTTGATATTGTGTGAAAAAATGCGTACAACAACGCGAAGGTTTTTAACTACGACCACACCACTCAGACATCGAAATTTTCAGGTTTGAAGCATCCAAGAGTGGCACTATCGAGGCTATTAATGTTCAACTACAGCCGCTAGACAACGGACACCGCACTTATGCGTGGCATACCAAAGGCGAGGTGGACGTCTGTGGGTCAATAACGCGCTTGGACGTGTTGCAAAGAAAGACTATTCGGATCCACATTTGTGTCATCGCCAAACCAGCGGACATTGACCTCCGGGAACGCAAGTGCGCAAACTGCATATATTTATCGGAACTTCTGCGACTCTGACGTGAGATGGTCCCTTACGGCAAGCCAGGTTCTAGTGCATGGTTTTTCCATCGTATTCCTGACTTTAACCATAACGAGTCCGGACCGGCACAAGCATGGCGGGTCATTGTCCAGAAAATCAAAGACAGTATTCCAGCTGAACTCATGGCTGATATGGCTAACGTCAAGGGTGCTCAAGGATATTGCTGTACGCCAGCGCGACCATGGTGGCTTCAGTACGTAAATAATGGTTGCAAAAGGCTGGAGTATGCAATTGTTTTCCCTAATGCTGTTCTGGAGACCGACATGGGTCTCCTGCCTAACCCATGGGCGTATGTGAACGCCTGGATCCCGGCTGTTTTGTGGGAATACGCAGCAGTACTGGCGTCAAAAGAACAGAGCCACAAGCCGATGACCATGAACTGGCGCGTAGAGAAGGCCTCCCAGTCGTTAAACGAAGTCTACCTGGTGTCAATTCCAAACATATATGTCCATACGCGCATGGCTTTTGCGGTAAATTGTGTAGCCGTAGAACTACTGATCCCCTCAAGATCTCATGTTCTTGGTAACGAGAAACAAACTCGCATATGGGGCTCCTCATATGCGCTTCCGGGGCTCGAGCACGACATCAAAGTCTTAACGAACAACCCCTTCACGGGCATCAAAATCAGAACAAGCAAGATCTGCCTAAAGACACCATCAGTAGTACTGGATACTCTGACGAGCCTTGAAGTCATAGGCCAAACAAAAGGCTCAAACTTTGGTCATAGGCAGTCAAATTCATTAGAGCGCTTTTGCCTCAACGAGACAGTGCTAGGAAGGTGCGATCAGGCCCGGACGTCGCCGAATTTCGTCAACGAGTATCGCTACTCGGGGAAATCTTGTGCGGAGCAGATCAAGGTCCTCCGGAGGGTTCATGCACAGCTCGATAGGTGCGACGAGCACCAGGAGGCAGCCATAATAGGCGCACTATCCGGCTGCCGACATGGGCTCTTGGTATTGGATGGACCTGCGGGACCTGGCAAGACGACTACATCTGCAAAGTGTGCACTTTGCCTGACCGAGATTTGGAAGAATGTCATGGTCGTTATGAAGAGCAAAATTGCAGCCGATCGCATAGCTGAAGGAATAATGTTGCGGTTCGAGAAGCATGGAGTAGGAAAGAGCCGGGAGATCATACGACTAGACAAAGACAAAGACGAGGAGACTCACACAAAGCTGGCGTACCGCAGAGATGCGAGTCTAGATCTGGAAAAAGGAAGCGTGGCTATCGAGTGGGGGGTGGAAAATTCGGTGGACCCTGTCCCCGAGACCGTCATGACGGCGTCGGTGTCGGCGCCTGTTGAGAGATACGCACGAGACCACTACAAACATGACAGGGTGTCGCAGGATTACCTCTTCGCGCGGAGAATGTTCGTTGCAGATGCTTGCCCTAGCTCACGCACTAAGATGCGGTCCCTGCATGATGAACTCGCGCGCCGTGTCATCAGGTCAACAATGGTACTCCTGTCCACCGTCGAAACCGCGCCGAAGTTTAAGGCATTGTGAGTAGCTGATATAGACGTTGTCTAGGTAGAAGACGCTAATACAGTCACAGCCATTGAGCTACTGCCACTGCTGGTCGCTTGCTCGCCACGTCTGGTGGCCCTGACAGGAGATACCCGTCAAGGCAGGCCCAAGGTCTATTCGAAATTATCGGGCAGTAACCCATACGGCGGACTTTTAGGACTGCCTGTGTACCAGCTGAAGTACAACCATCGCCAAGTCGGGCAGCTACGGTAGGCAGCCAATGCACTCTTCTACAATGGCAATATGCTTCCTGATGTGAACCATAAGCGAAGAGAACACACCAAGTTCTCTGCCGCAGTGAAGAAGGCATGTCAATCCTCCAGCATGCTCATGAGACAGTTAGAGACGCCCATGGCCAACAACGAGCGTCTCATTATTATCAACATCGATTCACGCGATAAGAAGCTAGAATCAAATCTTACATAAATGTGGGAAACGTTGCGATGGCAGCGAACTTGAGATGCGGTTTGGTAAATCAGAATGTGTATCAGTATGGCTCGATTGGCTTTATGAGCTTCTATGCCGCCGAGGTCGCAGAGTTTCGCCATTACATGGGCGACGCAATCTTGAAGCGATGCAAGATAAACTGCGCAGTGGATGCCGCACAGGGACAAGAGAGCAAATTATCTGTCGTGAGCTTCTCAAGAGCTGGCCTGGAGCCGGATCTGTTTGAATTCACAGACAACTTGGAGCGTTTGTGCGTAGCCGTGACGAGAGCCGGGGAGTTCCAAATCCTGCTTTACAACCTTTCACTTTGGAGGCAATGCATGAAGAAATATGGAAACACGAGTAGGGCCAGCATACGAATGCTCAAAATTATCCGGTATATCGGCAAGCACGTATGGACCGTCATCAACGTGAATGCGAGTCAGGTCAAGCTCTTGAAAGCTGCTTGCACGCAAACTCTCGCCTAACCATGTCAACCTGGTCGCAGAAAGCGAGACGGTTGATGGATGTTTGGATTATACTCCAGCATTCACGCAAGTGCAGCTTACGACTCCAATCCGGACATCATTCATGGAGAAACCGACCTTCCCATCTTGGTCGTGCTCATCTAGGATTGCCAGTGTTTTTGCTATGACGTCGATCACTTCTAGGAGACTGGACGCTTCACAAGCCTCAGCCTCGTCCACCCACACGAGTAGCGGCTACTCGATCTTTAGAACAAAAAAGTTTTGATTATTCTTTCCTTCTTGCTTTCTTCATCTGTTAGCTTCGTCTCGGTTTGAAGGCTGCTGTTCTGGTGCATGCAGGTTTGTCGTGCAATCTCTTGGTGCACAGGGGAGGGATTCAGGGATTCTCGAGCGACGATAAGAATACCAAAATAGGAGAAACTGTAATCACGCATTTGAGGGACGCGTATATTTACTTTCGGAATGAACTATCATATGAAACGCGAGGCCCGCTTTGCTTTTCCATCTAGAAAGAGTTGTATCAGCAGAATGACCAATTCCCCATGACCATTTTATGCAGTATACCATATTCAGCGCAGAAAGCCAACTGCCTGCAGCAAGTAGCTGTCTATGGTAAGCGGAGGCTACCTCAGTTTAGCACTTGCTTTGTCCTCATAAGCATTTGAGACTTACCACCATACTTGTCAACGAGCGAGCCGGCTCGCTCAGCTCGCTCGGCTTGGACGTTTTGACCAAGCCGAATGAGCTGAGCGCGCAATGCGCGCTTGCAAGCCGAGCGAGCTTAGGGATAGGCGCTCGCTCAGTCAGCTTGCTTAGCTTGGTTAGATGGGGCGGTTGGAAACTTGGGGCTGAAGGACTTGGTGGAGGGGCAATCTCACGATGATTTTTAGGTGTAGTGCGTAAGTTCGAAACCTAGTTATAACATAAAATACACTCTTTTTTGCTATATTTCTAGCAAATAAGCTACTAAATTTCCGGCTAACCGCCTGGCAACAATATTCTCCTTTTGCGACACTTCACTTACTACTTATCACCCACCACACTCATCTATACTCCATCAACGCGTCTCTATTTGCAGCTACTATCTACCTCGCCGTTGCTATAATGCCAGCAAAAAGAACACGCGTTAATGCTCCAGAAATCGCGGCAACTTTATCAACAACTTTATTGAGCCTGCAGGGCTTACGGAGAACGAGGAAGATGAATATGAGGCTTGGAAACGCAGCGAACCGATCGCTGGCGAGGGCGTCGACCCTATAAAATACTGGGTAGAACTCCGCGATCGCCACCCTAGCCTTAGCAAATTTGCTATCGACATGCTATCAATCCCAGGCTCAAGCTGTGAGTGTGAGCGCTTATTCAGCGAGCTGGGTGACCTCCTCGAGCCCCGTCGGCGCAGCATTTCTCCGCAACTTCTAGCAGCAATACAGTGCGATCGACGATGGATAAGAGCTGGATTTGGCAGTGGTGAGGTGCCTGTAAAGGGGGTTATCAGCGATGAGGAGATGGACGCGAAATACGGTGTACATAAGTGGGATATTAGCTGAGAAACTCAACACCAAGGTTTCTATATAACTTTCCTAATCGGGACTGAGCCCATCAAGCCGAGCGAGCTGACAGCCCTGTTTCAGCCAATCCGAGCGAGCCGAGCGAGCTGCTGGCCTCCGCTCAATTGGCTGAGCAAGCCAATTGGCTGAGCTCGCTCAGCTTGCTCATTGACATCTGTGTTTGCTTTGCTGGCTTCAAAGACATCATTGAACTGTGGCCATTGATATTAGCAGCCTCCTGAAATAAAACCAGGTCATCAAGTTCCTTGTCCACGTCGGCACATGTGTTGAAGGCATTCACTTTGGCATGCACCTATCGTTAGGCCACGCGTTAATTTGGGGGAAGAGAATGTTGATATAGATTCAGTGGCCATGACGATAACTTCCTAGTAACTACCCATGATACTCGTCATCAATGCGGGGCATTCTACCTTAGTCTTTTTGGCCATGTGAGAGCCCAAATGAGCAGAGATGTCAACAAGCAAGTCAAGCTGGCTTGATTCTTATCGATTGCAGATCACAGACCATTCTCTGGGACGTGCCACTGTGCACGAGCCTCTATATTGTCTGTGATCTGCAATCGATAAGAATCAAGCCAGCTTGACTTGCTTGTTGACATCTCTGCAAATGAGGAACAAAAAAGAAAAAGAACCCCCTAAATAAACCCCGTTCAGTAACAAAAACTTCTCAACCCATTTCCTTGGCATCTTCGGTCTGTTACCTCAGTCGCGGCTTGTCGTAGATGACCATCACTCATCTGTCATTTCGATTTTGATAAGTATATGGAAAAAGAGGAAGGATGCAAGATTTACTGATTTTGCTGTGGTACCAATGTGCACATGACACATTTGGTCGTAGTGGATCATGAACTCGGCCAGGTACTGCATCTGTCGCAACACAGCCATCGAACAATAGCTGCTGCGGGCAACTTGACTGACGCTTGAATTGTTCAGCTCCTCTCGGATAACTCAAGTAAGAAGATAATCCATAGCGACATGTTCCCTGGGGTCAGGCCTTACACTGCCCACAGAAACGAATACTCGTTCTTCGCATACAGAGCTGCCATCGAGTTTCTCGACTGTTGTTGGCGTGGCATTTTCGAATGATTTGCTGTGATTTTCGTTATCGAAAACGATGAGCCTGTCCATTGGCAGCGTCCCGTCATCGTTTCCCGTTTTGAGTCGCAAGATGGTCACCGCGTCAAGTGGTCCATCCTCCATTGTAAGACAGCCAACTGTGATACTTTTGCCATCCTAAATGCCCCAGCCCATTGAAATGGTGTGTATAGTTCTTCTTCATGAGCGTCTTTGACATGACGCAAGTATTCTTTCCATTTGATTTCTGGTATCGTCAGATCAATATGAATCTCCGGCAGTAGCCAATGTATCATCATCGTCAATCATGAGACCGAGAAGTTGGGGTATAAACCTAAGCGACTTATGTATGCTGCCAGCACCAGACTCCGCAACAATCAATCGGATCGGCATGATTGATTCCTATCTAGGTTAAAGGCTGCCTAATGAAGTAATTCTTTAACCTATATAGGAATCAATCATGTCAATCGATTGATTGTTGCGGAGTCTGGCCAGCACCCTAAAGACCCTCTCTACTATAACCTGCTGCTGCCTAGAGACCCCTCTTATCCTCCGCCCGGAAACCCCTTCTAGTCGCCTAACAGCATCTACGTTGCGAAATTTAGTTTAAATAAGCTTATTATGTACGCTAATAGTAACCCTACCTATATATATTTACTAAGTAAATATTATATCTTATTAAGTAGTTATAAGGCATCGAGATAGTATCTTAACTGCTTACTTATGTTGTTATTATAATAAAACTACGTTGTAAAAATTTGCTACTAAGCATCGACATCACTTATATATACAACCATAAACCCAAGTGACACTGATTCGTCGGCTCGTTCTTTGTCCTTGGATATGGGATTGCGAGACTCTGGTATGATCGCAAGTAAGGCCAGCCCTTCGTTGTCTGTTCTTCTGCTCTCATCGCCCACCTCTCGGCAGACTCCGCAACAATCAATCGATCGACATGATTGATTCCTATATAGGTTAAAGAGTTACTTTATTAGGCAGCCTTTAACCTAGATAGGAATCAATCATGCCGATCCGATTGATTGTTGCGGAGTCTGCCTCTCGGAAGGAAAATCGTAGTCTGTCACGCTGCAGTGTGAAAATAATGCCGCAACACACAAGAAATATATCTTTCTAGAGCATACATCATACTAGAGTGTATTCGGATAGCAAGGAACGAACTTGTGAATTGCTCCTGGGTGGTAGTTTTACTTTAAGGTGCTGCAAACGTGACGAGTCATTTTCAGCGCCAAGACGCCGTTTTCAGACGCAACCATGAGGCGCGAATGTATGTAGTAGTAGCTTTCTACTCCCATCTTGACGCTTTTCGCTGCTGAGTGGCACTTCAGCGGTGTTATATGTTACCGCCTGAGACAATCTTGGGTCGCCCAAACAATTGTATGCGACGCAAAACATGTCGACGTTTATTTAGAAGACGCTTTCAACCCTGGTACATCCATTCTTTGTAGAGTGATCCTCCAGTACTTTTTAGCAGATTCAGTGGTCAGCTTCACTACCCTTCTTGCCAAATACAATGTATTGGATGATGTGATATTCGCTGCTGATTGGAGCAACCAGTTTCCAGGCTTTGTGCACTAATGAAATGGCCTCTTGTTCGCTGGATCAACCTTCGATGCCTTGCTCTTCAAAAGCCCGGTATAGTGTCATTGTGGATCTGAATATTGAGAATACTTGTTGATCACAGCAAACTCCGAATGCTTCGTCGTAGTCCTTCAGGGCTTCCGGTGCCATCTGTTTATCCAAATAGTCGGAAACTAAAAAGTCACTAAATTGCAACATGTTTGGATGTAAGTCAAATGTAATATACAAGTCTACCGAAACTAGCAATACCAGGCGGAGTACCCTGTATACCCAAGGTCCGTGCCCGAGCATGTCACGTGATCATGTGACATAAAGCAAGATATCAACCTTGTCAAATGAGATCTTTCCGTTGTTGTTATGCCATCGCCCCTCCAGTACCTCCCCGTCCTTCAGTTCCGCGACACGTTACAGGGCGGAGTCAATCAGCAATGTGGTTCTTGTTTCTATGTTCTCTTTCAAAACAGCACGGTGCTTTTCTGTCTTCTTCTTCTTTTCACGATACCTCATATAGGTGCCATTTGTCTTCGCGTTGATGTTGACGCATATAGCGAACGATGTGCACAACCCTGTTCCGGTATTCCATAGAGAATCCGGAAACATGTCGTCCCATTCGGGCTCCTTTACTCTCTTAAACAGGAGTATTATTTTGGTCATTTCTGTTGATTTTTGCCATGTGAAATCTGTGTTTTCGATTTTGGAAAAAAATGTTTTCCATTTGTTGTCTGCATCGGGAAATGTCTTCCCTAGGATGTAAGACGGAAGCAGGGTAGTTGTGTATGCAGAGTGCTTTAGATGCGTACCTGCACTCGGAGTTCTATATGCATGAGCTCGGTACGTTCCTCGCGAGGTGTTCTATCGTACGTTGGTAGGTCCTCTGCATCCGCTACTTGGTTGTTAATATGAGTTCGTTGTCTATGCGTATGTGCTTACTGAGCAGCACGCTCATCAAAGCCACGCTTGCTGGGGGATGTCTCCACGAAGAGGATTTCAGCAAATACCCTCCACTCGGGGAGTATTGCCATGAGGCGTCCGATATTCACTTTGTCGACAAACTCCACGTTCTGGTTTTGGTCCTGCGAGGTGTAGCCTTCTCGGTCCTACTGGATGCGAACACGAAGATGGCATAAGTACTGAGATAGATTCTGCTCTTCTAGCATGATGAGGAAAGCTGGTAGTAGGAGGATGCGGCGTGAATTGATCTCTGAGTATGACGCAGCCCAGTAAAACTCTATTGCTAGCACGTACTCGACCATGAACTCGCAGCCTTATTGTACATCTTGTGCAAAGATGGAACCGAAGGCCTTGGCGATAAGGGTATCTCTTCTCTCATGACAGCAGGTGCATTCACATGTCATGATGTTCACCTCGTCGGAATCCCATTGTAGATGGGGTGAACGGTCACATTGGGGTTGCCATGCGACGAGAACGGGGTTGCGCGAGGTAGAAGTCTTCATCTCCGGGAATGCTTCAGTATATATCAATCGTCTCGTGTCGGCGTTCGTAGTCGCTGACACAGTCCGCAACAATCAATTAAGTGGGTCCTAGAAGGTTCAGATTGGATTGATTGATTACCGCTTTAAGCCTAGTAGTTACCTATAGGAGTTTAAGCCCTACCTAGATAGGTAAGTGGGTCTAGGAGAGTGACCGGATTGAATTGATTGTTGCGGAGTCTAGTCGCTGATGGAAGAATGGTCGCATATCGTGGCAGGGAAAAGGCTATGTATTGTCAGAATAATCGCTGTAGAATAGACAAGCGCACGTACTATCACTTAAAAGCTCAATGAAGCACACGGTGGGTTTGAGTACCAGTTGGTGTGGTTGCTACTGCGACGTGATGTGCGCCGCTTTGGGGTTGTCGAACGCTACATGTCTTTTTCATAATAAGGCTTCTGGCTGGGGAGAGGCTAGAGGAGGTGATTGGGAGTATCTCGTGATGATATGTGGCAAGTAAGTGGCGGGTGAGCAGTTTTAACGGGGAACTCATGCCGAGGCACGTGTATGGTGAGAGAGTCAGTATTTGGAGCGGAAGGAATTGATCTGAATGTATTGAGAGGAAGGAAGGAAGCTAGGTGCGGGGCTCTACGTCACCAATTATTATTACATCACACCAAACTATGCGGAAGCTGGAATGAGAATCTCGCTTTCGTCGGTAATACCGGTGGTGACACCGTCTCATAAGCGGTTTCCAGAATGACACGAGCACATCGACAAGATCCGCATATACACCTGAATGCGAAGGTAGTGGTGGGATATTCGGCCAATGTGTAAGCGAATGCCCGTTGTGGAAGGGGAGCACTTTAGGAAGGAGCGACTGATGTATCGCAACGACCGCATATGATGTTTTGTAACTGCGTGAGCAGTGTCGGGTAGAGGCTGAGGATCAACGATTGTATTGCTATCTGTTGTCGTGTTGTGATGTCTGTGTACAAGAGCTCTCGGCTCAGAGGTAAGTGCACTTGCCCACCGGACAGTGCCTGCTACAATAGGATATCATGTGACTCTAGTCACGTGGTTACATGTTTAGCCTATGTCATAACTGCTATACAAGGGCTGTCACTCACCGCGAATAGCAAGCCATTGGTAAGAATCACCGATCAGTAATCGAGAGCAACAAATCATACCGTTGTGACTCAGATCCTGCTAGTTCCGTTGCGTAGGCCGCTATCCGCTCTGTTTGCGCCTCGCTTAGTGTCACAACAAACACCACATTTACTTCGCCCAAAATCTCATTTACGAATTCAATCTCACTATATGTATTAAATAGAATCAACTTTTATCCACTAACCAGCAGCAGCTCAAGACATTACAGCCGGACGGTGGTCAAACCAACGAAAGGACCTGTAGTGAGTAGTAGGCGACCATTTCTTTTTGCATTCGTTCGAGCCACTGCTGTGCCACTTTGAGGTCCCTTTTTTACCTTTGGTTTCCTTGTTTCCAAGGAAGATGCGAATTTACTATGATGGTTACATCATTTATTTAATCTCAATAAGAACTTTGTTGCTGTATTTTGTGGCATCTGCTACAGTCTTCTTCCATCTCTGCATCATACAGCAAACCTGTTATGTAGCTGCCTCTCATGTATCTGCACCAAAAAAATAGTATGTCTACAACCCACGTAGACGTGTAGATGTCGTTGAGATAGCCTTGCCAAGCTTCGCGCCCACTTCCGCATTCGACCAAAACTCCACCAAAACCTCGAATCCATCCACTTACCAAGCACCGACGGCCGCATAATCACCGCATGTGTTTTCTAGTCGGTCACGTACTAGACCAGGCTTTGTGTTTGGGGAAACCGCAGACACGACATGGCATGTTTTGAAGATCGGCTATGTGTCGTTTTGTGAAACGCTAGGGCGACGGGCCTGCTACATCAGGCTATCCACATAGCCGGGCTCCACAACTCACGGGCGGAGCCGCGGGAGATAAACTCGCCAATGGACGGTGTGGAATAGGCTGGATGTCGTGATTTGTGTTCTCAGTTTGGGCCAGTTGGGTTCAGAAGCGAGGGCTTGGCGGTATATCATCGGAGGGGTTATGCGTGTGTATAGGAGGGATGTCGGAGACTATTTTTGGGTTACAGGTACTGCGTTGAGAGTACGGTGATGTGGTGGGGTTCATGATGTATGTACTAATCTTTGCGATTATTTGGGGCATTTGATTCTTGACAGCGTCAGTCTGATGACAGTGTATTTGATTGTGTTTACCGGAGCTCTAGAAGGTAAACGCAATTCCACATGTTCGTCTAGTAGGTTAGGGCGCCTTCCGCCAGCCCGCACAAAGCGTTTCGAGATGCCACCTTCTCGCATGAAAAAGGGTTTTCGCCTTGGCGCCTTCAGAGACTTCCCCAGGCGCATGTTGAAACTGAGGTATCGAGTTCTTGACACCTCTCGTAGCCTAGAAAACAGGCCCTGCGCCTCAGCCAAGCACGGAAAGATGGCAGATCCTCGTAGCCAAGCATGTTAAGGCCTTGAACAGACGCCTCGGAAAACAAGTATTGATACAGAATCTTGTATTTACCCATGGCAGCCTTGACGAAGGGTTGATCATTGGGTGGAGTAAGGCGGCTATCGGCTCGATGGAGCATGCAGTGCGGTGTTGATCGACAAAGAAAGCATAAGAAGATCAGTGTATAAGAGGTCGTGATCATGGCCGCTTCTGGTATCATCATCAGCTTTCAGCTTTCCTACTTCCCCATCAGTGTCTTATTATCCAGCCTAGTGCTTCGCTTCTCGTATACTCCTATCTTATTACCTATTTATCGAGTTGATCTCGACTTCAAATACCTACATCTAATATGTATTTCTCTAAAGCACTTGTCATTGCCTTCGCGGCTGCCATCTCGGCCCACGGTGTTGTCACTGAGGTCAAGGGAGCCAACGGCATCACCATGCCCGGCCTGACTATCCAGGATGGAACTCCTCGTGACTGCTCTTCCAAGTGGGTACAATGTCTATGATACATGAGAGCAAAGAACTCACAGATAGCAGCGGCTGCGGTTCCCAAGCAGACACTGCGATCATTCGGGACCGAGAAATTGCAAGTGGCAAAGCCGGCCCTCTTGGTCGCACTCAAGGCAACGGCGTAGTCGATGCAGCAGTCATGGTCGGCGCCTTCATGGGAGCCGGTGCCGCACCGCCTGCAAACAATGGAGCAGCTGCGAGTGTTGGTGTGGAAGACAACATCCCGCAGGCAAATCAAAAGCGTCAGTTTCTCAGCAACCTCCTTGGTGGCCTTGGTGGAGGCAAGGCTGGTGGTGCAGGTGGTGCGACTGGTGGCAAAGCTGGCGCCACAGGCATTGCCGGACTTCTAGGTGGAGGTGGAGAAAAGGTAGATGGCCCACCAGAGACGCGTGTCGCAGCTGCAGTGGGAGCTGGTGCAACGAGCGGATTGCCCACATGTGCTGATGATGGCACTGTTACCATGACTCTTCGCCAGGTAAGCCATATTCTCTACGCTTCCAAGCATCCCTCTAACTTGTTCAGATCAACCAAGACGGTGCTGGACCTTACACCGCAGATGTCGATGGTACCTCTGGTGGTACTGACGAAGCGGCTATGCAGCCCGCCACCGTTACCAAAGATGTTCCAGGCCTCGGTGTCCAGGGTATCTCGCTTGCTACGAACACGGAGTTTGACATGACGGTTCAAATGCCAGCTGGAATGACATGCTCTGCTACTGTCGCCGGCGTCAATAACGTATGCGTTATGAGGGTTCGCAACGGGGCTGCCGCCGGTCCTTTTGGAGGTTCTGTGGCTTTCACACAGAGCGCTACTGCCAGGAAGCGAGCCATCGCTTATAACCTCAAGAAGCGCATGGAAATTGGCAACAGGAAGTAATTGATAGGCTTGGGTCTACTGGAGCAATATGTATCTGCTTCAGGGATAATAGGAAACCTGGCTGGATCAGTGTTCATACACGTACGCAAACATGGGGCCGAGCGGGTATCTGAGAGGATGGTATATACGATTGATGTAGATAAAAATATACGACATAATGACTACCAGAAAATCTTTCAGATGCTACGTGTTGTAAGCTTTTGGCAGGAAGGCAACTATCGTCTCGTGGGAAGTTGAGTTGAAATCAACGTTGATGTCGTCGTTGTTGAGAGCCGGACTTAACCCAATTAAATACGTAGCTGCCATCGAACGGTTCATCGGGTCGTGGAATCCACTAAGTGTAATGTACGTGTTCGCCCCATGAGTTATAGAGTCGTGCTGAGTCATTTGAGTGTGGTTGTAAGCGGTGGGTATAGTTTCTTGGGTAGGGTCTGGGTCAACTATGGGACGGACAACAAACCGTGGATGTCGAGGACAGATAGTAGAACTCACTAACCGTCGAACCGCCAACGAATCGACAGACGCAAGTAGAAATACGGCCTAGAACGGCGAAAGAGTTGTTGAGATGTGATTTTGACATGTCTAGTCGTTGCCGAGACAAGGGCCGCTAACTAAGGCAATAACTACCCACCCGCCCAAACGGCTATTCCTAAATCAAGCTTATCTAACATGTGCCGTGCCGTGCCCCACACAACCATCTCGACGTCATGCTCGCATACAATAGCAATACCTGCAGATCTTTACATTCACCTAATCTCAAAATCCAAGTCGCTATATTGTGTTACGAGACGTAGTCTCTTCAAAAATAAGCACACAAAGCACATCTAGCCCAATCCGGCCCAAGCTCTCACACCTTCTTATCGCGCCATCCAGCAAAAAAATCGCAACATGCAACCAAGGTCCAACCCATGACCTTTTCGTCACATATTTTTCCCCGTTACCCACGCCAAGTCGAAACTAGAGAAAAATGTCGCTTATAACAAATGGCCTGTCTAGTTTCTTTATCCTTATTCTTCAGGTCGCTATCCTTACCCCCCCTCCCCCACCGGATAGATTTCGCCACTCAATGTTTAATCTAGAGTCGCTGCAATAATAAAATAAAAGGCTCTCAAAAGGCTACGGTAACGACACACGATAATTCGACATGCCAATCTTCGACTCCAAAGCTCCAGCTGAGCACCCGTCTCCTACGACAAGCTACACCGACAATGACTTCCAGCGCATGGATCCCAGCGGCGTCAAACGCGGCCTCAAGACACGCCACCTCTCCATGATGGCGTTGGCCGGAATAATCGGTCCAGGAATCCTCGTTGGAACAGGTGGTGCACTTGCACAAGGAGGTCCTGCATCTTTACTTATCGCCTTCGTCGTTATCGGTATCATTGCTTTTAGTATCACACAATCCCTGGGAGAAATGACAACTCTGTACCCGACCGGTGGCGCTTTTGTCACGCTTTCTGAGCGCTTTGTGGATAAAGCGTTTGGGGTTGCGGTGGGGTGGCAATATTGGCTTGTCTGGGCTTGTGTGCTGGCGAATGAGTATAATGTCATTTCTTCGATTATGGTCTTCTGGGGCCCGCAGGTGCCGCTTTGGGGTTACTTTTTGATCTTCTGGTTTGCGTTCTTAGGCTTCCAGATGTTGGGGGTTGAGTCGTTTGGCGAAGCAGAGTTCTGGATGGCTCTTATTAAGCTCGCGGGGCTCTGCACATACTTCATCTTTGCTATCATTTATGCGTCGGGAGGATTGGTCGGTCAGAAAGAGGCGCTGGGTTTCAGGTATTGGCATGATCCGGGTCCATGGGTGGGCGGCTTCCGTGGTGTGGCTACCGTCTTCGTTTTCGCTTCGACATTCTACGCTGGTGTGGAGGCTGTGGCTGTTGCAGCAACCGAGACAAGGAATCCGTCGGTGGCAGTTCCTCTGGCAATCCGACAAGTCATTTGGCGCATACTGTTCGTATACATCGGCGTTGCATTCTTCTTTGGCCTTACATGCCCGTCGAATGCAGGCGGTCTAGCAAACGGAGCCAGTCGCGCGCTCAAGAGTCCCATGACCATCGCCCTCCAAAATGCAGGCTGGGAAGGCGGAGTCCACCTCATCAACGCCTTCATTTTAATAACCGTCGTGAGCGCCGCCAATAGCTCCATTTACATTGGATCACGAACTATTCTCTTCATGGCCCAACAGAAAATGGCGCCAAAATTTCTGGGCAGGACAAACAGCCGCGGTGTCCCCATCTACGCCATCGTCTTCACAAACCTCTTCGGCGTTGTTTCTATGATGAATGTTAGCACCGGAGGTGGTCAGGCATATTCCTACATTGTAAACTTGAGCGGCGTCTCCACCTTCCTTGTCTGGGGCTCTATCTCATTTACACACATCCGGTTCCGAAAAGCCTGGGCCGTACAGGGTCGAACGCCTGATATGCTACCTTTCAAATCAATCGCCTATCCCTGGAACGCGTATTTCGGGATCTGTGCCAATCTGTTCCTTGCTCTTGTGCAGGGCTGGACTACGCTGAGCCCGTTCGATGCGGGAAAGTTTGTCGACGCTTACATCATGCTGCCGATATTTGGCGTCATGTTTGTTGGGTACAAGTTTTGGTTCAAGACGCGTTTTTGGAGGAGTGAGGAGATTGATCTTGATGTAGGAAGGAGGAAAGATTTGGATAACAAGGTTGAATACATGGAGGAAGGAGAGCATGCTGGTAGGCTAGAGGGTAAACAGGGATTTATACAGGATTTCTGGCGTAAACTCTAAAGTATGGAATTCGGTAGAGATCTTCAACTAGGTTATTCATGCAGCGTCGTGGATCTATCTTGCAATCGCTCTTAAGCTGACTTTACCTCGTTCTCGTCTCAACACACTGCTTAAAAAACAAATAACCACCCAGCACAACTTCTCTTATTTTATAGTCCTCGAACTCAGACGTAATCCACCACATTCCCAGTAATGTAAACTACATCACCATCTTTTAACCCACTACCAAGTAAGCCACCGTACCGCCCCCGGAACCCCAACCGCCATATCCCTCGTATTCGAAAGCTCCACCTTGCCCGTCCTATCATCATCACCCGGATGACTAATATAAAACGCCACAATGCGCTCCTCGTCCGGAACCTCCAAATCGCCCAACGGCTCGTCATCCTCCTTCAACCCCAGATTGGCCCGCACACGGTCCTGCTCCAGCTGTAGCCCCTCGCGCGCAATCCTTCCCGCAATCATGCCGTCCCAGAACCCTTCGCGGCGAGGGTGATTCAGCATAAGGTTCATGGCGCGCCTGCGGAGAGCCTGACATGGACCTGGGGCGCGGATAGCGACGAGCCAGAGAGCAGCTACAGGACCCATGGTAGTCGTAAACACGGGGGCTGGACTAGTCGCTGTCGGCAGCAGTTTGGTCGCGAGTTCAAAGACACGGAAGAACTGCGCTGTAAGATCAAACGGGTGTTTGAATGGGGGTTTGACGTCCCCAAAGGTGCCTAGAAGGGGGAACTTTGCGACCAAATCGGCTCTGGGGTAGCGGAGCAGGTACTCCATCTGTGCCTGCATAAGTTCGAGGGCAGTGAGGGGTTGGATGTATTCGTCACCGTGGTCCGCTGCTTTGGACCAGAGGTGTTGCATTACGATTACGCCGCGGTGGTAGCGGCTGAGCAGGTCGCTGTGTTCGGCGTAGACGTCATCTGCGGCTTCGTCAGGGTCGAGTAGAACGGATCTCTGGTTGAACGCGTGGATAGTATTCATTAGGCTCTCCGAGTGTTGTAACATGTCTATTAATTTGGCCATGTTTAGGACGCCGTTCGGGGAGGTGAATAGCGGTTTGGTTTTTGGTTTAGTGACCCAGCTGCCGGATGTACGCGACGGCATTATGGCGCGAACTTGCATGTCCAGGCCTACAAAAATGGTGCGTAGCGATTCCAAATCTACGGGGTGAGTTTCTCTTGTTTCTTCCTCGTCCGTTTCATTCAGCATTCGGATGCCGCTGCGGAGGTGCTCGATGGCTTGCTTTTGGTGACCCTGGAGACAGCACATACTGCTGAATAGAATGGAACATGTCATGAGAGTGACCTTGCTTGTTCTGTCTTTTACATAGTCATCCGCAATCTGCTTTTTTAATAGATCTTGGATGGCTCGATTCGACTGGCGAAGAGCAAACTGTAGATATTTGTCCGACATGTCATGTTCGGTCAGATGTGAGCCGTTACCTTGGAAGAAGCGTCGGTACATGGCGCCGAGAGCTATAATACAGTGTTGAATTGCCGAGTCGCGATGTGCGGCCTGAAGCACCTCCCGCTGCCAAAAGGGGGAGTCGAGGAAGCCGCGCAAGTGGGTAACGGCATGGCACGTGAAGAACTCGAAGCTCTCTCGCTCCTCTCTGCTATTGAGGCGCAAAGCCGGTGCCAGATAAACCGGCGATTGTGAACGCACGACGCTCCAACCAGACCCAGAGTGATGGGAGTCACGTCTTGCTGCTGGCGGCGATGGCGTCGATGGCGGCGGCGGCCGGAAGGTCGGATCGTAACCATCGCAAGTCCTTCCAGTAGATGTGCACCTCTTGCAGTGTGGTTTTTCCTCGTCGCATTTTACTTTCCGTATCCTGCAAAGATGAGCAGATGTTGTGATATTGCACACAATTGTAAGACGAGCCCACGACGAAGAGTGCCATTAGCGTTGCTCTACCGCATCTCATCCAGTCTTCACCGATAAGAGGCACTTACTTGCACGTCTTGCAGCCAGAACGAGCCTTGGGCTTCCACGCCCTCTGGCGTGGCTTTCCAGACGCCGTCGCTTTATCCATCTAGAGGGCTTGAGATGGCCAATTAGAAATACCCAAAAAAACAAAACTGTACGAGCGGACAAGTGAGGTCAGAGGAGTCGGACGCTAGAATATACGAGCGCGCAAATGATAGTTGACGACCCACAGGCTGCAGAATCAGATGCTTTGGGGGCTGCATACCATAATGCAGTATTGCGGCAGAGTTCTCTGAGTAGCTAGACTGCACCAACTTAATCCCCTTGGAAGCGGGCCTGATGGGGCTACAACCAATTGAAACACGCCAGCAGGTCATCCGAGGTTATACAGTAAAGCGTATCGGCGTGAGATCGAGGGTATAGTTACCGGTGAGCGAGCCATTAATAGCAGACTTGAGCTCTCGTTCACGACTATGGTTCGGGACGAAAAAAGACGGAACGGCAGTTCCCGCTCAGACCCGCATCAACAAAAGGCCTAGACTATAACTCGATATTTATTCTCCATGAAGTAACTATGTAGTAATGTACAACAATGCGACCCCTCTATGCTCCATTCCAGTTTCCTACTAGGAAAGTATCCAGATCCTCGGTACCCAGTTTCCCCTCGACCAACATGTTGCCTCGCCTGCCTCTTGGCACCAGCCCTTTCTTCCAATTCACCCAGCTGGTACTCACAATCCTTGTATCACGTTTTGGCCTCGCCGTTAGCCTGAGCCCAGTCCCCAGAGCACCGCGTAACACCTTCATGTCAATCTTGCCGCCGCTTATATTCCGCAGTATATGTGTGACGGGACTGTTGTCGTCGCCCCAGACGCTGCCGTAGGTGTTCTCGCCAGGGAAGAGTATGCGAGCCGTGAGCTTTGTGAGGGTTGTCGGGTTTTTAGAGAAGACGGTCAAGATGAGGTCTGCAAGGGCAGCGGGCGCGTGTTCGGAGGTGGAACTGGAGAATGACGGGAATAAAGCGCGGATCTGGCTCATCTGGCGAATTTCACTGGGGAGCCGTATGTCGGATACACGTAGGCGAGGGCGAGGTGCGGGATTGCTGGGTTGACCTTGACGAGCTGGTCGTCTTGTGGAGTTGCTAGATGGGCGTACAAGAGTCGGCGAGGGCCCCGAAGCCGGGGTATTGAATGACGTCGCTGCAAGACTACTATTTGGTGTCAAGCCTTCGTCATTGCTCGTGTCCAGAGGCTCGATTTCGCCAGGAGGAGTGTAGTATCCAGACACATATACTCTCCGTGCCTGCTTCAACAAGTACGGGTACAAGCTCTTCAAGACCAAAACACCGTATGGGTATGACACGTAAAGTGTCAGCCCTCCCTCATCGTCGGCGTCATCCTGAATGACACCATCTGCATCTTTCTTGGAACGGGCTTCCGCGAGCCGTTTGCGTCTACGCATACAGTCGGTCATCTCGTCGTTGATCAGATGAGATGTCAGCAGCAACGCAACCGAAGCTGGGAAACCGAGCTTCTCGCCCGCATCGTCGTCCACGTTTTCACGCCCATGATCAATCGGAATAGTCGGAGGCGTCGCGACGGCGAGGAGGGATTCGTCGTGGCAGCGGCGGGCCATGGGGGTGAGACTGGTGGGAAGACCAGGGATTTCGCTTTTCCGTGCCGTGTCCAGTATACGATTGCCAAAGCATGTCAAGTATCCAGCACTAACAGTGACGGTCTGTGGTTCGGAGAGTAGATAATCGTAGACATGACATCGTATTTCGGTTGGCAGGGACAAGAAGCCACTGTATGTAGAGTCCGGTGTACGCATCGTGCAGTAAGGGGCAGTGTAACGAGCCGTCGACGCGTCGCGTAATCAATGCTCTCTGAGTTTGACGATGTTTGCGAGTAATGTATTTATTGCTCTTTACAATGTGTTGGAGTGATAAACAATAGACGTGAGAATAGAGGGATGTGTTGTTGTTATGTGGAGCTGTCGCGGGCATGATCGGACAACGAGTTGTGGTCGAATCATGCGCTTGTGGGGTGTAGGGCGGTGAAACAACCAGTCATGATGCAATGCATGAGCGAATCACCCGATGTAGTCCTGACGGGTCCGCGAGCTTCACGCGACAAGTCTGGGCTGCTGATGGCATTTAGTCACAATTGCCTATCAGATGGTCAATAATGACTATTTGTTTACGCCAAGCTGTAAGAGGCTGCGCTGCTTCGAACAAGCTCACTGCTTCTCAAACTTGCCTTCTAGACGCCCAGGCGCGCCATGGACTAACAGAAACACTCGCGTCATGTCAAAACAACGTCCTGGGAATGTTCCCTACGTGTGCCAAATTACTGCTAGCAAAGGAACATGCAGACTGCCTAGAACTAATCATCCTCACTATCCTCGGCTCTCTGCTGTTCCGCCAGCTTCTGGGCCTGTTCCCACTGCATTGCAAACTCGCGTAGTTGGCCCTCTCCGCCACTGCTTGCGTCTACTACATCCTTGGGGAGTTTATGAGCGCTGTATTGTGGAGTCGCGAAACCGTATGCCTCTGGGTCGTCTCTCCGTACTAGTCGAAACTCAGGCTGCCACAACTCCTCTATGGAGTCCCCATCCGAGTCTGAGTCTTGTTCTACTGTGTTGCTGGCTGCTTGCGCTGATTCGCTATTATCGCTCGATATCTTCAAACGCACAGTCGACTCTTCAATTGGAACCCTGTCAGGTACATCCATGGTAAGTAGTTCCATCCATGAGAAGATCAGTGGGTCTGTCCGTACGGCCCAAGGATTAAAGTCTACTACCCAAACCTTGTCATGTGGTGGCGGAATGTATACGTCAAAGGTGAAGTTTGGATCTGGGAAGGTGTCGCGTAGTTTTGCATCGAAGAAGTCTTGAATCGTATCGCGGAGTTTGTCCCGCATGTTGAACAGAAAGTCGAAGTGGTTCAAGTCGCGCTGGCACAGGGCGATCAGTCTCCGGTCACGGACGAAGCACCGGAACTCAACACTTGGGTTGAGTGTAATCCACTTCCTAAGAACAAGATGATATGCTATCTCCGGGTGTGGCGTTGTGGTCTCGTCGACCGTGTCATCGAAGGCGTGGGTCAGGTCGTGGGTGACGAAGTCGCTGCTCTTGAGGAGGAGGTAGATGTCGTTGGGCGTACGGCACTCCATGCTGTTGGTTGCTGCTATCCAAGTGGCATCCTTTGGGGCGCTCCAGTTCAGCTTGGGCGCGACTTTGCCGCCCAGCTCCTCAATAGTGCGCCCGATGGCTTCGTGGGTGTCGCGCCAGTGTGCGCTTGGGTCGGGGCTCTCCTCTTCATCGTCGTCATTGTTGTCGGCGCCTGAGAATATTCCGCTATCGTTGTCTGACCATGAAGGATTGTCTATCTCGTCGGGGGGTAGGATGATGCCATCTGAACGAAGGTATTCGAGGAAGGCGGGAGGGAGCGGGATGAGGCGTGCCTTGGGCGTGATGGCTCGGTATCTAGGAGGGTTAGAGTGCATGTAGAATTATATCGCGAGGAGCTACTAACTTGGGATGCCAGCTGTGATATGAACAGTTCAATATGTGCTGCTTGGTGACGGGTGGAAAAGGCAGCTCTCGGTATCCCATCTCTATGGGCGCTGAAGAGGCGTCTTCCCTCGTGGTATTCTGTGCGGTCATGGTGGTCGCAGTGAGTGTAGAAAAGAAGAAGGAACCAATATCCGAAAGAGTGAAGGATAAAATGATGACTGCATTGCTCTGTGAAGCTTTACAGTCACGACCAAAAGTTTTGGTGGGGCAACGCAGTTCGATTGACCTTGGTAACTTACTTAGCGCGCACCTCCGAACACTCCGCAATCCATCCTAGGCACACCATCAACCAACACAACCTCTCCAACCACCACGACTAAGCATTACAAGAATGTCCGACAACGTCGGTCTAAGCACTCCCCGAGGTAGCGGAACCTCGGGCTACGTCCAGAAGAACAAATCACTCCTCCGACCACGCGACAAGGTTCAGCCATATCCAAAAGACTGGGACCAAGCCAAACACCGTCCCAGACAGCCAGACGCAGAGATTCTCGAGCACGAAGCGAAGCGCGACATTGAAGTCAAGGTCCTTGAGTTGCGCGACAAACTCGAAGACGAAGGCGTTGACGAAGATGAAATCGATGACCAATGTGAGGGACTACGTCGCAAACTAGACCAAGAGCGCAAAGACGGCAAGGACCTAGGTCCCAACGCAAAGCGACTAAAGTCCCACCAAGTCCACGATCTTGCCAAAGCAAAGCTGGAAGAGAGTGAGAGGCTGCGCAAGGCCCTGGGCATCCGCGCAGACTACGAGGAGGGTAGTCACTGGAGGAAACAGGAAGAGAGAATGCGTGACAGCCTTGCCAAGAGGGAGGCCGAGGACGAGGAGAAGGTGGAAAGGGCAAGGGAATCTAGGCGGTACAAGGACGAGGACGAGGACGAGGATTGAACGTTCACACGTGGGCGTTGATAAGCATCCTGATACCACCAGTTGCTGCTGTGCACTGGTGTACAATACGAAATGGCGCCGCATGTGGCGGTCAATGGCGACCTAGCAGCCCATGTGTTTGCGACTATGGTCGAGACTGGTATACGAAATTTAGGCACAAGCAGGTCAGCTTCGTTATCAGCTCGATAATCATGTCGTTCGACTGATCCGAAACAGATGATTCGCAAAAGATGATGCAAGTCTATCTATTCTCACTAGGCCCAGTTCTTTGATGCGAGTCGCTGTTCGCTTCCATGAGGTGGCACCTCTGCGACTGCCATCTTGCAATATATAACACCATCTGATTTGGACCAGCAATGGCGAATCTTTGTTTTCAAAAATAACTTCCTTTTGTTTCCAAACCCCTAGGCCCATTATTGGCGCAGGAACCCTTCATATCATGCCGATTTGCCTCGTGGTTGCCAAACCCGTAATACTACTGATGTGTAGCCAGGGTCACGGGCGGGTAGGAGGAACAAACTCCGCGAGTCGAATAACGAAATTCCACAATTTCATTTCCGGACAGTTACCGTGATCCGACGCATCTGTCAGGCAGATCTAGCTATGGTCATAAGTCTACTCCAGAATTTCTCCACAATACAATGGTCGTCCAACAATACCCAACACCAAGTTTCGTCACGTTACACGAATTTAGAGTTTTATGCAAGTTTGAATAAGTTGCTCAACCGCAAC